TCGCTGGCCGAGCTGAAGAAGTTACATCATCGAGCTGTGGAAGTGAATGGGAATGAAACGCACAGCTTTCGCTGGTTGTACAGGTAGGTGGGTGTTTTTTGTTCTAATTTGACAAACTAGATGTAAACCGGAGCGTTATTGGCAAGATATCTACACGAATTGTCACGGCATCATGGAGCCGTATGCTAAAGACAACAACGGGCAACCAGCCAATGCCATCAACGGCGCCATTTCTGGTATTTTCAGCGCGGCTTTTTTGTGAAAAGTAATTTTAGGTCTATTCTTCTCGGCAAGGTTGTTTAATGGTGTTATGTCGGGGACGAGTCCGTTTGGTGACCGCCGGTTTCGGATCGAAGCCCCGTTTTTGTTGGACGACTCGAAACACACGTAAGTGATTCGGAAAAAATTTGGGTGGATTTTTTTAAATGTCGTAATTCTGAATACGTACTTTATTTTGACTGGATTGTTTATTTTCAATCGAGTAATAGGACAAATGCAGAAATAAGCGACAAAAAAAAGAAAAATTTAGGATGTATTTCGCGGATTTTTACTGCAACACTGCGCTGCACTACGTTACAATCGTCGTCTGCATTCGAGATTCTCCAACTGACATGTGGGCAATTTGATTTTTAAAAAAAACCTGTGTTTTTGCAGCTATTGCTCGACGCGCCTAATCCGCTTGAATCCGGCTACCAACCCATTTATCCGAGTTCAGGCTTGAGTTTTTTGCTGTGCTTTAATATCCATTTTTAGTACTACCCGCCAAGCAAGAATCTACCCGACGGCGGCCAGGAATACTTGTCAACAAGGTTTTTGGTTTATGGTGGTAAATTAGCATTTTTTAGAATGTTTGGGTAGAAGTGTTTTACGCTGGTTCCGTGGATATCAATCGGCGGCCGCTGGACCCAATCCAAGCGACTGGTAGCTTTTAATTCGCACCTTTTTCTATTTTTATTTCTAGGAATGGGTACATCGCGGATAGGAGGACTTCCAAATAATAAGTACTGCGAAATTTGCAACCTCTACCCGGTCGCGAAGCCCGGATCGGCGACTGAGAAGGGATCCGAGGTATTTGTTCTCTGGGGGGTATAAACCGTTTGCTTTAGAAGGAGTGCCACTACACTGACCCAAGGGAATCTACGATCGTTCTGTGCAACTCACTCACAGATGTCAAGGTATCTATCTTGGTATTAAAATATCCTGCAAAATTAAAAATGGCTTTATAAAAACAGCTTTTTCCGGGGCATAGCAGGGTTTTTATCTAACAAGCGGATGCGTTTGTAGATATCTTTTATCTTCTCGAGCATGCAAAACTACAAATTTTGGTTCTTAAGGATTTGGGGGAACCATTTTTTTCCTAGCGGTCCCGATTGGCCTACTAACCAAATATAAAGTGTTTTTGACATGTTTTTCGTAAGTTTTAGCCATATTTAAAGTAGAAAAGCTTTCAAAAAAGTGAAGTCGAAAATTTCGTCTTTTTGGGGTCGAAAAAATAAATTTTTCTACCTAAAATTAAAATTGTATAGTTTTTATGCTTAGGAATCATTAATAACAATTTAGAAGCGCATCCGCTATTCATAAAAAAATTTCGGCATGTGCCGAAAAAATTTGTTTACTTTGGTTGATTACCAATCAACCTGGTTGCACTGGAAAAAATTCGGCGCCGCGAATGCTCAAAAGCCTTAAATTCTGTTATTTTTAAATCAATTATACTAGACAAATGTTTGTACATTGTCAAGGTAAATCCCCCATTTTTAGAAAGAGCTCGGAGATTTGTGGCCGGATGCGGTGGACACCGTCTGTCATTTGGTCAACCAGACGTGTGAGATGATGGAGAACGATTTCGGTGTGGCTGTAAGTATCTCTACATCTTTTTTCACTTGTTCTATCTTCTCAGGATGCGCAACAACGCTCTGCAGAACGAATGGACAACGCCATGGCGGTGCTACAGCGCGAGATTGAGAAATGTCAGGATGTTGAAGTATTTTGTTCAATTCTGTTCAAAAATGCAATTTTTGCAGATCCTTGCATTTGCTGAAGATCTTCGACAAGTTGTTAGTAGCTTCAAGATGCAGCGAAAGGTAGTTTTGAGGCCCGTTTTATAGTTTGTTTGGATTCAGGTGGTGATGGATCTTCTCAACAAAAAGAGCCAAGAGATTGACGTGACGACCGACATTTCACAACGAAAAATAGCGGCCGCGACGCGAAAGAGATAGTTCTTCCCTTCCCCCCCCCCTTTTTTTTTGCTTTTAGCGGTGCCGATTTAATGTTGAGGGCTTGACAACTAATGCATATGTGATGGACGCACGGGTGTACTTGTTATTTATACTATTTTTACATTGCTTGCATCTTTTGTTATAAAGATTTCTACGTCGTGACTGGAGTATTCGACCAGCAGTTTTAATGCGATACCTGAAAGGCTGGCCGTTTGCAGTTAAATGAAGTTTGTTAGATGGAAAGATTCCGAAAATGGGCTACAGCTATGAAGATTAAAGCACCCGGCGTAAGGATAGACGAAGCCGAACCGGTAAATACCATTGGTTCTCATCACGCGAATTCAGGGAGCTGGCTATGGGGTTTTTGCGAACGAGGTTCATCTACCAGAATCCCTGATGATCCGAATGCCGCATAGCGTTTTGCTGACTGCCGGATCGATCGCCGATATGCCGAAATACAAGAAGATGCTTGACGATTTTAGGTGAGAAACGCATAAATAAGCTTCGAGCAGTCCGGTTTTAGCCAAAAGATGGCGCCATTCGAGATTCTGACGTTGTTCTTCTGCCTCGAAGAGTCAAGCTCTTCAAAATACGGACCGTATTTGGATGTTTTACCCAAGGTACTGTAGTTCTATGAAATAGACCTTCGTGCCTTTGTAGAAATTCGACACCCCAGCCGCAGATGGAATTCGTTTTGATCCGGCAGAAGTAAAACTAAGCCATTTAGCTGAACGATATTTAGATCCCGCAATCCGCGAGGGAATTTTATAAACTTCAGCTGAAAGAGCTGGACGTTGTTTGGGCAAAGGTTGACCTGGCCCTTAAGAAATGGGAAACTTTGTTTAGCTAACACTTTTCGCCGAAGAACTCTCAATGCCGATCACGCACGAGAAATATTTGTGGGCTTGGCACGTAGTGAATACAAGGTTTTGCTTTTGTATGTTTTTGAAAGTCCGTTTAGGTGTATTTATCTGGAAAATCCGACACATCCACTGGTCGACTCTACTGATGGTGACACGTTGGCGGTGATCCCTTTTGTAGATATGCTGAATCATACGCCAACTGCTCAGGTGTGCAGTTTTTCCAGGCCATTAAAATTTTAGGGCTTTGCCTTCTACGACAAAATTCGGAATGAATACTGTCTGCGTGCGACGAGAACGGTCAATGAAGGAGACCAGGTTTTCTTTCTCTTTTAGATTTTTAGTATTTCTTTTAGATTTTTGTCTGCTATGGCCCACACGACAACGTGCGATTATGGATCGAGTATGGCTTTCGATTGTCGGCAAATCCTAATGGCAAAGTCTCAATACCACAAGGTTGGGTTGGTGCTGGTGTTTTTGAGTGGTTTTCAGAATTGCTCGTCGCTTTGGCCATGAAAGCAGGCGTTGAAGTCTCGGATCGACATGTGAAGGCGCTAGAAGAAGCCGCGCAACCCAGGTTTGCATTAGTTTTGATACTTTTATCATGATTCTCTAGTACGATCTACGCTTCTGACGAGGGCCCCAGCTGGTCGCTGCGCACGAATATGCAGATTCTGTTGATGCCAAAGGCCGAGCTGTGAGTCTTCAGCACTTTTTTAGCCGTTTTTAAGGATCTAATTATTAAAACTTAAATCAAACAATTTTTAGCAAAAAGTGGAAGGACTACGTGTACGCGGAAGACAATAGAAGACGGAGACTTCGGACACGATATCAAGAAAAGGATAGCGACGACGAGGATGAGCAGAAAGACAATGAAGACTCCAAAAGGGAACGACGTGAACGGGAGGCGCTTCGGAAGATGCTTGTCGAGTTGGCGATGTCGGTACGAAGCAGGGCGGAAAAGGTGAAGCTTTCGTATCTCTCGATTTCCTAGTTTCAGGTCGATCCTCGGCTCACTTGGGCTTGGATCGAGCAGGCCGAAATCGTGGACGTTGCGGCGAATTCGTTGTTATAACGCTGTTCGTTCGGTGTTGTTATTAATTGCAAATTTTGTTGGCGTTTCTACGTTGATAAAGAGTGTAGGGACTTCATGGTCTTTTTTTGTGGCTATTTCGAGTTATCGGGGGAGGGTGAGTTTTTTCATTTGCCTAGTAATGAAATAGTAAGTGATTTTAACACTGTTTTCAGTAAAATTAGTTGATTTCAAGCGCGAAAACAGTGAAAAAAATAGAAATATGTAGCCGAATTTTTGGTCGATAATTCGAAAGAACCTTTTTTTTAAAAGACTGCTCCGATTTTCGGTTCTCGAGACCCCCCAGAAACACGAACGCAACAAAATCCAATCGCACAACCACATATTCCTCGAAAATTCGGGCTGACATTCCCGGCGGGACCCCCATTGTCTTCCAGAAGCCCGGGGATGGGCGATGCTAATTCCATTTGGGGCTCCCCCACCCTGTCCCCACAGCACCCCCCAAAATGAGCCGCCAAAGCTATACACAGCTTCTTGGAGACGGTGGGATGGCTTCGGAATTGGGTTTGTATGCCGGAGCTTCTGCGGCAAACGGTAAAAATATGGAGTGTAGGAGCTAGGTAGCTTGGAAATCATTTAAATCGATTTTAGTACGAGAGAGCTTCACCGGAACAGAAGAAGCCTGGCAATGCGGTACTTTACTATTAGCGGGGGTCCTAACTTTGGCCTATCGCCGCGTTATGGTCCCAATAATCAAATATGCGTCATTTTTTAAAATTTTTAGAATCCTTTGGAAGTTCTCTCTAGAATGCTCGGAAGTATATACTACGTGGCTTCCCCCCCCCCCTCCCCCGCTATCAGTCCAGTACCAATAAAGGCCACGTACTTGGAATCTACGACGAATTATTCCCCCAGGAAGCCAGATGCTCCTTGAAGGTCGGGTGATACTCAATTTTCAAGGTTGCCTGCCCCTTTTTTGCGGATGGTGCATTGGATGGGGCAGAGGAGGGGAGGGGGACCCCATAAAATGGTCTTTTGTGCCCTGGGAAGGGTTGGAGCCCATCTTCTATTGGTTGGCCCGTGCATCATGCAAAGCGCTCGCTGCCAGTGAATAAATTTCCGCGTTCTATTCGTTGGTCTTCTAATTTTATTACTAATTCTATTTTTTTTGCTTTTATTTGGTGCAGTGCTTCCTTACCATTTACCGTAGTGGTTCCCGTTCTGGACTGTTAGGGGGTCACGTGGGGCAACAGGTTCTTGGCGTTTATGGTGTATTTTATAATATGTGTAATTTAGTGGTTTTTATTACTAAATTTCGTGCAAATTGTTCCAGAAAATCTTAAAAATTTGAATGTTTGGCTATTTTTCAACATTTTCGCAACTTTATGCATTTTTTATAACTTTGTCACTTGAAACCAACGTAAAAAAACTATATAGTAGTTGTTTTTATTACTAGGGCACTGCGCCCCCCGCTACCGCACCAGCACCCAAAATTTTGCGCTTATTTTTATTTATTTCTGGCTTCCTTTTTTTGTTTTTTTTAGACCTTTACAGTAGTCACCCCAGGGGCCAATCCCTTGGGCTTGGCTCCATTTGTCAGCCTGGGTTGGCCCCCATTTCACGCTTCTGCCTACCCGCCGACCCGGATATCAAGCCGAATACGGGGTGGATGCCCATCTCGCCGTCCATCCACATCAATCTCTGCTATACCAAGGGATTCGCCACAATTAGCCTTTGGCCACCATACACAGATTGATGGTCGGCACACCTCGGATTGACGCTCAGCAATCAAATTATTTTTCTGGTAACGTAAGAAGCATCTGGAAATTCATAGGTTTCTTGGCTAATTTTATTACATAGCTAAACTTTCCATCTTTAAGGCGCCTGCTTGCTGCCACGGCCGTTCAGATCTATGGGAAGGCGCGCATGAGAGGGGCTTCCCCCACTCCCCAAAAATGGTAAGAGCGCCGCTCTTCTTTAGCTCATAACTTCCCCCCGACCGTATTTTGAAAATCGCCGCTCTAGTTCGATAGAGAAAAAAATTCTGCACATTTTAGTATAAAAAACTTAGAGGAATAGCGGCTGACAGAGTTTTCTATAGCGTTAAAAAACCAGCCATAGAAAATGTTAAGGATTTTCTCCTTTTTTGCTGATAACTTTTCCCCTGGGTCATATTTCGAAAATCGCCGCTCTAGTTCGATAAAGCAAAAAATTCCCCACAATTTCGTAAAAAAACTTTTATATAATGAAGTGTTGGAAGCGTTTTCTATAGCTTTTAAAGCTCGTGCACGCTCTGAACAGCCGTGCTGCACTTTAAGGAGTCGATTAGAATTAAAGATTAGATAAGTTCGATTAGAAACGTCACATTTTCATAACTTTTCTAGTTTCCGAGCGATCAAAAACTGCTAAAACACAAGTAAACACGAATTCCCCCGCTTAAGGGAGGCACCAAAGTTTGTTCATTATTTTTTTAACATCCAACTGTCTTGAATATCTTGAAAGGAATTCTTGAATCTAGTTTTTTATGTTCATTTTTACGAGCTATGATCTTGGGTAGCCTAACGCGCTCTGCCAGCTCCGCGCGCTAATCGGCAATTATCTAGCTTCAGAAAGGAGCGCGGGTTATAAGCATAACTTTTCCATCATTTCTAGATCCTAGCCTCGAATTTCTCAATGGATAGACACATGGTCGTGTCGAGTACTACCGACATTCCAGAGAAATAAAAGATCTTCCATCTTTCGAAAGACGGAAGATGTTGAAGTGGGTCGAAATATGGCCGCCCCGAGCACCTTGCGTGTTGTTCTCCCCCCCTGGCCGCTCATCGTCATCGATCTGAAGCCACCGGGCGGGGGGAGGCGACAAACCATCTTTGATTTTATGCCCGTCTTCGTATTATAGATTGGCCCCGGGCACCATCATAACCTACGCCTAGGTACGGCTGCATACCGGTAGCCCGGATTTTGTACGAAATTGAGGATTTTTGTAGGTGGTCGTCAAAATCCGGGATTTTTTTTTGAAATCGGCATATTTTGTCGGCATCGCGGAATATAAGAATCTCTAATAGCACAGGCCAAAACCCCAGATCTCAACAATTGAAATCGAAAAAATACGATTAAATAACTTGATTGAAAAAGCTTGGTCTTAAATAGAAGCTTAGATTTGGCAAACAGAAAAAAAACAGTGTTTTCTTGTTGAGCCTGTTGACATCGCGAAATTTACGATCTTGAAATTTTACGATTTTAGGCTGTTGAATGAATAAACTTTTTGAAAAATGCCCGATCACGTCAAAATCCCTGATTCCGACGGTCCAATCAAAAAAGCCGGATTACGCAGAAAATCCTCGATTTCGTAGAATATTACGGTTACCGACACAGCGCCCAACCTGTTATGTATAGTGTTCCGAAACGACAACCCAATAAACCCGACTTTTTTCGGGGTCCCCAATCAAAAGCATGCTTCTTCTGGTGGTGCTCCTCCTCCTCGTCCTCCCCTTCTTCGTCTTCTTCCATTCCCTTCGACGGGCTTTTTGGAGCTCGTTAGCGGTTGGGCTGACGGCCCTCCTCCCCGCCTTCCCTGCCCTGCCTCGGCTCCACCGAATACCGATACCAGCCGGCCGACTCGAGGTTGGCCCTCCCCTTGTTTTTCTCGTGTTGTTTTGGGCCTTTATGGCAGCTAAATTTTAGTGATGGTAATTTTGCTAGTTTTAGTTTTTTTTTATATTTCTTTACATTTCCTTAACATTTTTTTTTAATTTACACATCTTGAAACTTGTAAATCCAAATGGCACGTTTCTCTATAACTAGGAATTTCTTTCAAAGTCCTTTTCTAGGTACTTCTCGTTTATCGGGGGAGGGGTGATTTTAGAGGGATACGGTAGCCAAGTTGGCTAAACCAACTATATATTCATCAAATACGTGTCTAGGTGCCGTGTCTAGGTGCTGCTCGTTTATCTAGGGGGCATTTTAGGAATTTTAGAGGCTACGGTAGCCAATTTCTTTACATCATAATTGACTTGCAGGTAGTTTACTGCTGTCGGGGTTTTCGAATTTCTAGTCAAGCCATTGATGCAGCTTTCTACGCCGCTTTTTGAAACTTAATAGTAAAAATGCTCATAAAAATTATTAAATTCATAAAATTTGATATTTGGCCAAAAAAAACTGTAAAGACGATAAAATATACAGTAGAACACACCAAAAAACTTCTGCTCGGTAGGCTAGAGCTAGAAAATCTCAAGGTTAACCCCCCCCCCCCTCCCGATAACAGTCTAGTACCACAAATGCTAAAATCCAATGGCGCGTTTTCTAAAAAGCGCTTTCAAAGAACGTTCTATTTCTACTTTCCCTAATCTCTGCCCATATTCTCCAAAAAGCTAAAGAACTGGCAGTCAGTGCCCTTTTCGTCTTCCTCGGGCCATATGCAAATCAGTTTATTGACGGCGCTTCCTTTCTCTGCCTGGAGGGGGGGGGGGAGAGAAAGATGGGCGAAGTTGTGGTTGGTGGGGGGGGTTGTGTGCCGTTTATTTGAGGGGCGGGCCACGGTATGGGCTGCCGGGGGCGAAATTGGGCACCCCGGATTTTAGGGTCTGGATTCGGAATCTAAGCCGCCCCGTGCTCGATCCTCAAGTAGACGAATGGTTTTTTCGGGATTTGGGTAGGGTGGCGGGGAGGGGTTCGGTTTACGGATTTTCACGCTTTACGAAGGGTAGCTAGAGAAAAGCGGGCTTTTTTGGTTTAAAATCGCTCGGGCAATTGTAGTTGGAAGATAAATGCTGTTCTGGCCTTACGTTCCCGAAAAGCAATAGTTATAACATATAGAAACTATAAATAAGATCACGTAATCAATCAACTATAATATATACCAGCCGATTACAGCCGCTTCGCGACTGCAATCGGCTGGACTTCGGGCCACCCTCCATATTCTACACCACCACATTTAATCCCTACCTTACGCTGATGCCTTCATGGCAATAACTACACTGATGGCTTCAGATACCTCCTCTAGCCAACCCCCCCACAAAAACATAGCTACCTTCCCGATGGCTTCAGATACCCCTCCGGGTCGAAATTCCGTTAAAAATCTACCAAAATACCTCCCTGATGGCTTCAGATATCCCCCATGGCTGAAATCCCCTTCAAAAACTACTTAGATACCTCCCTGATGGCTTCAGATATCCCCCATGGCTGAAATCCCCTTCAAAAACTACCTAAATCCCTTCCCGATGGCTTCAGATACCCCCCATGGCTGAAATCCCTTCAAAAACTACCTAAATACCTTCCTGATGGCTTCAGATACCCCCCATGGCTGAAATCCCTTCAAAAACTACTTAGATACCTCCCTGATGGCTTCAGATACCCCCCATGGCTGAAATCCCCTTCAAAAACTACCTAAATCCCTTCCCGATGGCTTCAGATACCCCCATGGCTGAAATCCCCTTCAAAAACTACCTAAATACCTTCCTGATGGCTTCAGATACCCCCCATGGCTGAAATCCCTTCAAAAACTACCTAAATCCCTTCCCGATGGCTTCAGATACCCCCATGGCTGAAATCCCCTTCAAAAACTACCTAAATCCCTTCCCGATGGCTTCAGATACCCCCCATGGCTGAAATCCCCTTCAAAAACTACCTCAATACCTTCCTGATGGCTTTAGATACTTTAAATAATTTAAATAATTAATTAACATAATTAAAAAGTATTAAAAGTATTAAAGTAACTCAAAAAGGCATCTGGGCGCGCGAAGGGGCCTGGGGAAGAGGGGCGAAGAGAAAGGGGGCGTGGCCTCCCGGGGAGAGGGGCCCCCACTCGTTTTATTAAGGCGCCACTTTCAAAGTTAATTTTAATAATTTAAACAACAACTTTTTCGTAATTTTTTTATCAGTTTGGGGGTTTCTGACGGCGCTCTATCCGAATCCGAAGAGAGCTAAGCTCTAGCTCCTTTCCCCTTCGAGTTGAATTCGGCTTCACACAGACAGACAGACGGAGACCACAGCAAAATTATTATAGTTGATAGATAAGTTTTTAATCCATTTAAAAGCCAAGCGACGCCTAGACGTTCAGACGTAGGAAACGAAAAACTGCACGGCGAGCACAAAATACGCCTACACAGCGGAGCGCGGCGTACCAGGTTTACGTGAACGCGACGCTCCAATCGACGCGGCTTAACGTTACAAGTATAGTGACGGTAAAACTAACTGAATTTTACAGATTCCTTTTCAATCCGTGACATTTTTTTGTTTTCTGGCTGTCCCAGTTCCTAGAAAAACGATACGAACCCACTTACCTGGCATATTCGGATTTTTGCGAACGCAGCGCGCCAATTTACGCTCTTAAACGTTTGAAAGTAAAGTAACGTTAAAACTAGTCGAGTTTTAAGCATTCCTCTTCAATTCTTGGCGGCTGTTTTGCTTTCATTTTTTTCCAACCCCGAAAAACGACACACATCCATTTCCAAAAGTTTCCCACCTCCACCACCATCCCCCTAAAAGATGGTTGTTGGATTTTGGAGAGCTGTTGCGTGGAGTGGTGTGGGACTGGCCCATGGTGGGGTAGAGCCCCCACTTCTGATGTGGAGCTGAAGGGGTAGGGAGGGGGAGGCTGTAGCTCCCCTTCGGACTCTCCCCTCTAATGCCATTGTGTCGAGGACTATCCGCTGGAGGAGGCACACTGAAGGGTCGAACATTCCCCCACCATCCACACAACACGTGTCCGCTGCTCATTTAGCGTGCACTTTATGTTTATAAAATTAATTTATTGAATTTTTGGGGCAATTGAAGGTGCTGGACTGTTAGCGGGGGGTGTAGCGGTTTAGGTGTCCAAAAATTTTCTCAGTAATTCCGTACGGTTCTATAACGAAATATAATCCGTTTTGATAACATTCTGAAGCTTTTTAGACATAAAAGTCACATAAAAATGTTCGAAAATTTTTGATTTTTGGAAAAATATATGCAAATCATCAATTTTGAGCGTTTTTAAGTCTCTAAAATTGTTTTTATGCCTTTTCGTATTCAGATACTACAATGCGCGAAAAACTCCGTCAGGTATTTTAGATACCTCCCCCCCGTTAATATTCCAGAACCAATATACTTTCGGGCTATTTTGTGCGCTAAGTCAAATATAAAATTTAATTGTACAAACTACAAGCTACAAACTACAAGCACACGAATTCGTCAAAGACTTGCAAAATGGTTTCTGGGATAGTTTTCTCCGGGCTTTTGGACGTTTTTCTAGTCTACCTACGCCTCTATGCAGACGCACAAAAATAGCCGCCCAGCAGCCACCAGTCAAATGCGGCCCACTGCGCACTTGCCCCCAAAAAAAAACCCGACTCCAGCCCGACCACGCTCAATCACCAATAATGGTCGTCAAAAGAAGGGAGGAGGGCGAACACACAGGCAGATCTGATATGCCGGAGGTTGGCCGAGGATGGGGCGCTTTTTAATGGGAGGAGCACAAGCTCAGAAGGCCTCTAGGGGCCAACCCATCACAGGGCCATCCAATGCCGCCTCGTCCTCCGCCAGCCCGCACCACACCGCATAGCCCACCCTTCTCGGACATCCTTGACATTTCACATTCCCGGATATGGCCATTGCAGGGCCAATGATTTCACTATGGGCTTTGTCATGTGAATCGAAATTTCGGCATTATGTAATTTCGTGTGGCGACGCCTCAGGTCAAGCCGCGTGCACCTGCTTATCGCGAGCTCAGCAGAATTTTTTAGCATTTTTTCTGACTGGTTTTTATTTATTCTAAACATACTCTTTTTTTTTCTTACTAGAGCGCCAACGACGAAAAATCCTTACGACTACAAAGATCGGCTAAATACGGTCATATTCCGTAATTTGGATGCACGCGTAGCCAGGCTGGCGTAAATTAATATTTGATCAAAACGAAAAGCTTTTTCTTTTTCTCCTCCCTTCTCTTCAACCCATAGAAAAGCATCGATCATCTCTTTTGGCCGGAAATATTGCTAATTGCTCTGTTCTATTCTTCCCCCCTATCGATGTCGACCCATTCATGCATACGCAAAGTTATGACCCTCATCCCCCTTTTTTGCAGCGCCGATTCGTCTTGACGTCTTCTGCCGGGCCAGAACGCCCTGAAAGTGACGTTAAAAAAACGTTGTAAAAAGCTGTAAATAACGCAGCGTACTCAAATCAGTTCTCGCATTAACCCGCCAGTCGCTCCTCAGCGCGCACATCTTTTTCCCTTATTGACTTCCGACCCGCTGGGGCCCCCCAACCTAACCAAATTTATTGGGCGCCCAGCCAGGATTCCCCTCGGCTTCACGCCACAATTTGCCCTTTTTTGCTATTAAAATAAGGGGTGGGGGCGCTGATCATCCTCTATTTGGCTCGGGGCGCTTCTTTTTCAGTGAAATCCGAGCTTTCAAGGGCTCCCGGAAATCTCAAGGTTGATTGCCGATCTTGGGCGTCGTTTTCGTGATTTTCCACATTTCACGCGGCGAAAGTAGTTTTTGGTAAACGAGTTAATTTTCCGATAGATATGCCATGTACAAAATAGTATTTTGCTAATGTTGCCCCACAAACCGACATATACTTCTTCTAGACGTTTTTCGGCAAACCACAACTGCTGCCCCGGGGGCAATGGGCTCGTGCTCTAATCCCTTGGCGGCCACAAGTTGATTCTCCTCTCTTATTTACCCCCTACTGCCCGCTTTTCCTCCTCAAAGAGCTTCTCCAATTCTAAACTATCTCTTTTAAGCCCAGACGGCTTGAGCGATTGTCTTAATAGTTGCCGGCTGTTCCTTGAAGGTCGCCGATTTTTCTCTGAATTTTTCTTGTCTGTTTCCTTGCTATTCTAACAAAATACATATCATAATTTTAGAGACGTGACGCTCAACGGTGAACTCAAGTTCCAGTAATTCGGTTCGTTTTATTGGTTTTTTGGCGGTGTGGTGCATGGGTGAGTTGTATGCTTTATGTACGTCTAGGTGTTGTGGTGCACGTTTGCTTCTTTGAGCTGCCAAAATGGGAACACAGCTCGACTATCGTCAAAGGCTTAACTTTGTCCCGGACATTGTTAAAGTTCGTTTTTGTGTGAAGTTATGTGTTTATTTTTAGCTAGATCGTTTTGCCAGAAGGAGACTGATTTTTAGATGTCTGATGCGGCTGTCCAGTCGTCGCCGATTCCGGGCCTCCTTGGACAAGCCTGGATCGATCAGGTTTGGCTGTTTTGTTGAACAATTTTTTTTAATTTCAATTTTTAAAAAATATTTTTAGGTTGAGAAGGAATTCGACAAAGCATTCGTGTCGCTCGATATCCTGCTCGGCGAGGTCGATTCAGATCAGGTGAATATTTAGCTAGATTGCTATGGGTTCGGCACCGCTTGTGACGTCGTGACCACTTGCACATGGGAATTTGTTCGAAAATCATAGGTTGAGATCACGTACGAGGGACGCCAGAAGATGACGGCCCTTTCCTCGTGCTTCGCGCAGCTTCTCCACAAAACGCAAACGTTGCACCACGCCCTTTCCCGCGTTCAGAATGAGGTCCGTTCCCTTTTAGCTACATGAACTCGTGCTCAGAGCAACAACCTTCGCGATGATTTGGTGTCGGCGAGGACTGTGAGCGCGGAGCGGCACAAGGAGTCGCAGCAGTTGCTTGTTCAGGTAATTCAATTTAATTTTTTTGAATTAATTCGTTTTAGGTGCATAGCCTCCAATGTGAGCTGCACTCCAAGACGGCGCCGCACGAGTCGGATATGATCAAAAAAGAAGCTGGTACCAGTATGGGAACAATACAAGTGATACCGATGTTTAGGATCTTGAGATCAACGCTTTCCGTGATGAGGTGATCCCATCGTTGAAACTGGAATATGAGGTTTAGTTTTTAGGCTTCTAGCAACTTCCATTTAGGTGCAACAATTGCAACGCGAATCCGATCGGCATAAGCGTTTGATTGCTGCGCTGGAGAGCGAGGTGTTTGGTGCGCGGCTGGCGGCGAAATACCTTGACAAGGTTTTATTGATCCGCGGATTGATATGCCTTTTAGGAATTGGCAGGCAGGATCCAGCAGATCCAGCTTCTTGGCCGGAACATGCGGGGAGTCGAGCACGATCGGTTGTGGAATCAGCTGGAGGCCGAAATCCACCTTCATCGTCATAAGACCGTCATCAGGGCTTGTCGGTTTGTATTTTTGGTTCCTTCGCATTATCGGGGGCATGATATTTCTCTAGGACCCGATTTTCCTAGTATAAATAAAGGATATGTCGTACGTAAAAATTTTCTTTTTGCTAAAAAAAAGTAGCGGTTTTGGGAAGAGAATTCTACGGGTTATAAATTTTCTGTATAGTTTTGACGCTCGAAATACAACTAAGTTTTCTGTAAATGCGATCCAGATATGATATATGAATGGTTTTAGTCAACCGGTAGGGTAAAGAAAAAAAAAGATAAAGAAAAAAGTGCAAAATGAGGAAAAACAAAGATATTGATATAGAATCTAAGAGACTTCCCATAATGCGAAAAACCGTATTTCTAGTGAGAATAGGGACTTTGTTTCAACAAACTAGCAGATGATGATATTTTAGTGGCCGTGGACAAACGAAAGGCTTGGCTTGTCCGAATACGGCTTGGGATCGGACGCGTAAGCGGAAGGGCGTGCACGAGACCAGGCGGGTGGCTCTTGCCAAGCAACCCCACGAGGGCCTCGGAATCTCCATCACCGGCGGCTCCGAACATGCTCTTCCAATCGTTATTTCGGAGATCCAACCCGGACAGCCAGCCGACCGGCACGCTTTATTTTGATAATACTAACTTCTTTTTAGGTGCGGCAACGTGTTCGTGGGCGATGCCATTCTATCAGTCAACGGCATCGATTTGCGGACCGTGAAGCATCAAGAAGCCGTCGAGATCTTGTCCACTCAGGTTTGACATCTTACAGGACCATTTTTTTTTAATTTCAGCAAGGCGACCTGGAGCTGGAATTGGTGTTTGTTTCGCCGGATGAGGACTCGGATGACGATGGCACGGTGATGATCGAAGATGCTGATGGGACGCTGTGAGTTTACTTTTCAAATTGCTGGCTTTTATGGTTATACACTTCATTTTGTCGCTTTTTATACAATTGTTACGAATCAAATTTCCTAAAAAAATTATAAAATTGTGAAAAAATTTTTGCGTAAATTGTCAAAAATGTCGGTTTTTAAAGAAGACGTGAACAACTGCTACAAACTATAAAAATACGCTATAAAACGTTTTATAAAAAGGCTGAGAAGGTATCGGCTAGATAGATGCCCCCGCTAACGACCCAGTGCCGCTTTATGACGAGGCTCATTTTCGAAACTTTTGTAGAAAGTCTCTTTTAGATTCAACATGTACAACAACAACAATCTGAACAGCGTGGCGACGGGCAGCACCGGGGCGGCGAGCAGCGAGCCACAGTCGAGCTCAAGGTCTTCGACGTCTTCTCGACCAAATTCTGGAGGCCTCTGAATTCCGGCAATCAAAATGCATCAAGCTATCGTCCCTCACCCTCGGCTAATCACTGTTGTTCCTTTTAAGATATTTATGGAGAATTACGGTTATCTTTCCTTGGCACCGGTCACTCAATAATATTTCCTTTTCCCGTTCGTCATTTTCGATCTCTGTGAATGAGATGTTTTTTGGTTCGTTCTGTACTCGAGATTTTATACCTGTATTTTCTACAATGTCTGTAGTGCTCTTTGTCCAAATGCCTTGCTGCTCCGCTCGCTCCCTCTGATAGGCGGTTTTTTAGTAGAGATTCTAGCGTTGCTTCTGCTCACGTTTTTCCTTGTGTGTACATTAATTTGCCGAATAATAAACCGAAATGGCGTAGAACGTAATATTTAGCTGGAATTTTGTAGGCACCCAGTTGCGTTATCGATATTCCCTTTAATCCATTCGGCGTTCAACAAAAATTTATCGCGCCTACTCAAAAACTCAATCCAGGTTGTTGATTTGGGCACATGCGTTGCTGAAATGTTTTTCGCATTAAAGGGATGCCGACGGCATAGTCAATCGGTGAGGCGAGGGAAAGAAAAATGTCTCTGCGTCTCGCCCTTGCGCGCGTTCTTTGCCCTGTTGGCTACGTGCCAAAAAGTCGACCGATCGACCGATGCCGTCGGTATCCCTTTGAATTGATATGATTTCGAATCCTAAATCTCGAGAGTTCCCTCACCATCATGTTCGATTCCGGGTTGCAATTGTAGACAAGCCTGAAATCCTCGATCAGCGATAGCGGGTTGTTGGTTCGAACATAAGCCGCAGAGTGGATATCACCTCTATGAGAAACGGACGATGGTAATTTGAACCGAATAATTATCCCCTACAGTTCTTGTTGGGCGTCAAAGAACCAATTGCACCAAACAGTGGCATAGGCAGTGAAAAACGACGTGATGTCCGGCTTAAAATTGGGTCAAGCTTTAGTCAACAATTTTTAACCTGTTCGGTAACCCGTTTGTACATCTCCAGGGCTGTGTAGAGCCCAAAGATATCGGCAAAGTCCTCATCGAACGTATCTTCCCCGCTTTCACATGGGGCCTACAGGAAAGCAGGCTAGTATTCATCGCTTGAAAATCCGACATACTTCTTGAAAACGGGCACACATCGCTTGAGAGGCATTTTTCACGCATTCCGCCGGAAACGACTTGACGAGCTCGGCCTTTAGCGATTCCGTGTGCATGATTTCGTGCGAGAGAATGTAGCCGAGCGATGCGTACTGTAATTCAAAGTATTATTATTGAAAAACCTGACCATATGGGCCGGATTCTCCGACGTCAATGCTGGGACGAACGTCGAGGGGAAGACGACAACATGGCCTTCATCATTTATCGCTCCCCATTCCAGCGCTTCTTTTATGATTGTTCTAAACTCCGTCGAAAATCAGTTACGGAACTTACCTTTGGACATATGTGGCCTCTGCATGAACCGGGCCAACCACTTTTCGAATGACATCCGGCAGGAGAGCCACCTTCTTCTGGTAGTTGTCCACCGTGATTGAGGAATAGGTTCTAAGTTGATAAAAAAAATATAGAAGATATCTACTAACTTATCAAGCTGTTGAAAATTCGATACGATCTTGGACAGCATCTCCTCGTAGCTTCGCACATCATCATCGATGATCGCCGCATGAATTGGAGTGGCTAACAAGGCCTATCTATCCTTTCAATACTATATACCCTTCAATTTTGCTGGAATGTCGGCCAAGAATTGTTTAATTCGCACGAATGTCGACGCGTATCTCAGTGCACCACGATAGATGGCGACTGTATCTATTAGCTGGCCTGCAAAGTCGAGCAGTTCCTGAACGTTTTAAAGATGCGCTGCAGTCCCGCCCAATCCACCTGGACCGGCTTGAACTTCATGCGACTCCCGTACTGCAGCTGGACCATACTGAGTAGCGTCTAGGTGAAATTGTAAGCTCTAAAATCAAAATGCCAATGTTTTGGTGTGATCTTCTTCTAGGATCTGAGTCCTATTAGCGGAGAGCCAGGCTTTTACGACATTCCGGGCCGACTCGGAGATGACCATCTCTTTGTTAACGTCTCTAGGGCAGACCTAATCAAGTACGATCCATCATATTACCGGATGGTACTTACATGCCGATAGAAATTGTCGCAGGGCCGAATCGAGGAACTCGCCGCTTGTTTTTCATACGTGTAAAACCAATTGACGTTCAGGTCCTCGAACCCATAGGCCACCGAGCTTATAAACAAATAAAAGAAAAACCACCACAAACCATAGCGCCACTAGAAGTGCATTAAAGAACCACATCCCCCAAAATGGCGTGTTGTAGAAACGGAGATGTGATTTTATTAGCTCATGTCAAAGCCACTCCCACAAGACATAAATCATCTATGAACAACCGAGAGAACTCCTTTGAGCAGCGCCGACAAAAAAAAAGATCAACAAAAGATTACCTATTGAAAGCTAACTAGAAATTCCAAATTCTATCAAGAAAATAATACAAGCGTACATCAATCAACCAGTAAAGCCGGCCGTGTTCTCGCGAGACTGGGCTTCCTTCATTATTTCGGTGGCCTTGTCCAAGAATTCCTTAGCTTTGTCTTCATTTTTTTCGATCCCGTCACCGATTTTATACATTCTAGAAATAGTATTTTTGTAATAGCAAGAAATTGGAAACCTTGCAACATTGGCGCAGCTGTGGGGGATCATCTGTTCACATGCCTTGATGCCATAGTAAAGAGATTTGTTCATGTCGCGTGCTAGTGTTCCCAAGTCTGTTTTATCGCCATCCTAAAGAAGATATAAAACTTAGACTCTGCAATATAACCTTTCCCTTTCTCGCATTCAGAAATTTTTGCTCACGGCCCATATACCAGGTTGAGAGCAGCCAGCAAGCCTCACCATCCTCCAATTCGCAAGCTCTAAAAAAGAATAATTGGCCAATCCATGAACCTACTTGGCCATGTATTTCTCAGCCAGTTTGCTATTGGCTGGTCGATCCTTCTCGCCATTCCAGTGGACAAGTGAAAGAAACCTAAGAAAGATTGACGACAAAATCAAACTCATACCGGCATCCTCGGCTAATGTTCGCATCGCAAGATATTTCTAGCGGCTTAATCATCTTCTTTAAGTCGGGCTCGCACTCTATTTCGAATTTAAAACCCCCAAATTGGCGAACCTTTGCCGGAAAGTAGATACATGGCGTACTTGAAGCAACTTTTGGGGTACTTTCTTGTCTCGCAATTTTCTTTGTATAGCGTGAGGGCGGCCTAAAGTAAACCGTCATGAATTAATGAAAGTGATTGGTAAGACTCTAGTTTACCCCCAGCCCTAACTTTTCAGCCATACGTCCTATTAATGCGCGGAGTATCTCAAAATGTTCGCCGTGGTCGAATTACTATAAAACAGTTGTTCTCTTGCGGCAAAAATTGCTAGAATTTTTTTTACAAGATTTTAAAAGTTGAAAATATTAAGCCGCTGTGCTTCAATGTACCAGGAGACTAAAACTCAAATATTTTTATTTTCCGCTATTTTTTTTTCGACTCAAACGTACTGTAGGCTTATTCTACAGAGCAAGAGCTACATTTTGGTACCATTGACAGCTCTGTACGTCAAAAGATAGCCGAGATACGAAATCTCACTTTGGAACAGCAAAAATTAACTAAGGAAAACCCAGACTTATAATTGTTATAAAAATTTTTCTAACAATTTTGGATGTAAGAAAACAACTTTTTTTATAGTAATTCGACCACAGGGAACACTTTGAGATACTCGGCGCATTAATAGGACGTATGGATGAAAAGTTACGGCTGGGGGGGAAACTAGAGTTTAGCCAAGTGATTACCTTGAAATTTGAGTCAATGGCCTCCATATATTCAGCTAATAGCTGACAGGATTCCGGCCGCTTCTCCTGATCCGTTCCGGTTAATAGATAGGACAGTTCGCGTACCTCATAACATCCATATCGGTACTCAATGCCGATATTTTTAACATATTCCTTCCTTTCCTCTTGCTCGCGTTCGACTTCCTCTTTCGAAACCGACATAGATCTGTGAATATTGTATGGTATATGCATTTGTCCGTGTCCGTTTAAAATAGTAAATAATTAATGCCGCGAGAGCCAAAACGTATTTGTGCTGCACAAGATCCACCGTCGGAAAGTTTATATAACAAAAACAAATAACCCATGGGGAGGAATAAAACTTTAACTCATGCATGGGAGAAATCGAAGCGAAGCGAACAGGGTGTCAACACGATCCAACCAGAAAAGTAAAAGTAAACGCCGTCGATTCCTTCAACCAATACATACGCGTAAATCGTAGAATGTATACGTAAGATTTTTTGGGGAATTACACCAACAATTTAAGCGATCCGAAACGTTTATAAATGTAAAGGTTCGGGAGAGTTCGAGATCTAAACTATTGACGATTAAAGGGGGGAGGGGATGAAGGTTAACGAATAGAGCGGGTGATAAATTAGGAGGAGATGGCGAAGGCGTCGGGACCTCACTGGTTTTCGCCGCGATAGTACCCGCTAAAATGGAGATTTTATTGGAAATTGATGATATACCCGTGTTGATATTGTGGGTTCTGGTAGTACTGGTTGTAGTACTGCTGATAGTATTGCTGGTTGTAGCCACCGGCAGCCCCAGTTCCGAGTCCAGCCGGGGCCGTTTGGGTTTGGTTGTAGGCTCCGGCCGATCCGTAACCATATCCATAACCACCGGGGCCAGGCTGCGCGGGGCCACTTCCACGTCCAGCGCCACCACCGGCCTGCTAAGAAACAGTTATAGAAAATAACCAAAGGTCTAACATCGGTCTTTCCCCAACTGCATCGCACCACTTGTCCGCACATTTCCTTGCCGCTCATTTCGCAGATTGCACGACAAGCGGACTCCTTGCTGTGGAAGCGCACGAAGGAGTATCCCTAAGAAAAAAAAGATGATGTCTAATAAAATCAAAACACAACCTGTGCTTTGAAAAGGCGAATCTCATCAATTGAGCCGAATTGTTGGAAGTTGGCTCGGATATCCTCCTCTGTAAGAAAATAGATGTCATCAGGAAAAAAATCTTCTTACCGCTGACACCTTGCGCGACACCCCCAATGTAGACAGACATGTTCTCGGCAGTCGTTTGATTGAAGACGTCGTCATAGTTCAACTAAACGAACATTAGAAACCCTAAAAAAAACCTACAGCTCCCCTTCCGCGGTATCCGCCGCCACCGCCTCCGCCACCACCACCACCGTGGTGTCCTCCTGCTTCACCCCCAAAGCCCTCATTAGGCTTTCTGGTGGCCCAGTTGGTCCGGATTGTGCGCCGGCCGATCCACTGTCCATTCATTTGTTCGATGGCACGTTCAGCGTCCTATAAACACGACGGTCAAAGGAAACAAAATAATTGATTACCTCTCTCTTGGGATAAGAAACAAAACCATAACCCTTCGATTTGAGCGTAGATGGGTCTCGGATGACCTTTACATCTCTAGAAAACAAAGATTATCGAAAAGATAAAATTCCTTACGAGACTTCTCCAAACGGGATGAAAGCTTCTTTCAGCACTTTGTTGTCGATTTCAGGGCTGAGATCGCCGACAAAGACGTGGAAGTGCCTGCTTGTGTCAACCTTGACCTGTTGCTGTCCGGGTTCAGTAGCCCAGTTGACCTTTAGTTCCTAAAACAAGAAAAATATAGGCTGCTTTGAAAGACAGTATGCTTACCCTCTCTAGGAGAACCCTTCGATTCATCACGCCCAAGGCGTTTGCGGCCTCATTGTGTTCGGTGAACTCGATGAAAGCATAGGGGTCGCTGTGCGGCTGAAAACAGAACATGTCCATAGATCTGAAGATACGACTGGGCGCCCTGCCATCTAGGCCGTCCTATCCAAACTTGAGTAGCGCGTCCCCCACTAACAATTTGTTTTAGGCGCGCTAGTGTTAATGCTGCGTTGAAAAATCAAAAAAAGTATGAGCAAAATTACTCGGACAATGGCGATTTCGGAGAGGTGCCTGAGGGTGGTAGGCGGCTCGTGTCCACGACAATCTAGAGAATGCGGGGATGTGCTACGGTCAAAATAAAAAGAGCAAAAAAAATCGTCGCCGCCGGAAAAGAAAGTGTTACCGCGCAACCCATCCTGAACGGGGGTAGTGGAAACAAACCAAAACTTACATCATATACAACTTTGGCCTTGGTCACCACGCCAACCTGGCCGAACAGTGTGGAGAGGAATTCTTCCGTGATGCTGGGATCCAGGTTACCAACATAGCTAAAGAGAAGTTGAGTTTTTATGAGAAACTTACAGAGTTCGTGGCATTTCATCGCCCGACCCGAGATGGAAACCAGCATTTTGAGCGACCGTGTAGTGGGTGCGGGGGTTGTAGGCACCGACCTCCTCATAGCCGTATCCGTAATATCCCGACATAGTGAAGGGATAAAACCTTGAAATTGAAGAAATAAGGGGGTCCTAGAAAACAGAAGAAAGTGGAAAATAAAAAGAAAATGAAGGAGTACGTGGTGATCCATGGATAACCAACAGGTCAAAGAAGTTCAAGATAAGAAGCGATAAGGTATCGAAAACAATCGACACTAATGTTGGCGGCCTTTTCAAGCGAGGCTATTCGAAAACAAGCGGGGAGGTCATGTTCAAACTGCTCTAAAGGTAGCAGCATCTATTAATGAGTTTATTAATATACGTTTATCTATATAAAAGTCACGGAAATTATCCTATACGCGCGTTGACAAAAGATAGAGCGATTACAAATTCTAGCGCCCGGGCTCGAGAAGGCGCGTTGCGTGCTGAACTGGCGTGTCGCAGGCTAAAACACATCCTCCGTCATTTGGCGCGTCGCGTGCGCGGGGTGCGGCTAAATAAAAGAATGTGTTCAAGCAAACTCAAATTCCAACTCTTTTGAATTACATTTTTGCTGATTCGTTTTAATTTGTCATCTTTTCCTTTTGTCGGCAAGCTCGCGCGCTTTCTAATCGTACCCTTGTACCCCATGCTTCTTTAGAAGTTGTCGCGTTATTTCGGGTTTATAAATTTTGAAAATTGTTTTGTTTTGCTTTCCCACTTTGCGATGGAAACTTATAGCAGAAAAAATTTCGTAGACAGCAAACGCTTGACAACATACTGCTGGTTTCACCATTTTGAACAGGATGACGATGTTTCTATTGAGATTCAGACACTTCGTTTTTCTTCATTCAATGCTTCATCATTTTTTGTGACTAACTCATTGAAAATCTTCTTCCAGGATGTCTCCTCCAGCAGAGATGCGGCAGATGATGCACACCTATGGCCGACGCGCCATTTGGGTTTCAATGGCGGCCGGAATCGCTTCAACCGCCCTCTTCTACTTCGGATATGTTCACCGTCGTCACGAGAAATACGAGAATTTCTTCAAGTATGCTTTTTTATTTTCTCGCTTTACTAGAAGGGAATTCTTCGCTGCTCATAGGTGATTGACAGTGAAACATACTTTTTGTTTGTGGCGCCTCAGCGTTTGCCGTCTGGTTTTCTGCAAACATTGTTCTTTTTCAGGAACTACGACCCGTACACCCGGATGAGGGAGATCTGCGCCGCAAACAAGGGTTACATGCACACCTGCCCGCAAGAGCTTGCCAAGCTCTATGAGGTTTTTTGAAAACCTACGTCTTGAATTATTTGCCTTTTTTTAGGAGAAGGGCAAGCCGATCGCCGACCTGTAAACCGATATCGTCTAGTGTTTTAGCTCTATTATGTACATTTTCTTGCTCCGGACTCATCTTTGGGTAGACAATTGCTAATGATTGTTTGTTTATGTCTTACTGGAACCATCGTGAAATAAAATTTTAGGTATTCTTTGGAAAGTTTTCTACAACAGGGTGGGGGTAAACAAATCGACAAACAAAATATTTGACATACAGAGCAACCAGGTGGAGCATGCTGCCGCGCCTTTGTTTTCGGGGGGATAGCTTGACATTGATTAGGTTCGTTTCTCTCGTCCTTCTCCTCTTTCGTTGGGATAGCCCGTGATTGTGGGGATTGCTCAACCTCTGGGCCCCAACGTGAGTCATTGAACCTCGATGAAATTCCTCCTACTAATTTGCGCGCTATTGTCGCTTTCCATTGGCGATAAAATTGAGAAAAGAGGTTTGTCCTTTTATTTTTAGGGTATTTTGTCTAGATTTCGAAGACATTCAGCCCGTAGAGCACATCAAGCCGGTAAAAGGTAACCGCCAGAGTGCTCTGTTCAACATGTTCAGATGGTTACTTGGTACTGCCTGATCCACAGCTAGGTGATGCGCCAGAAGAAACTGACGAAAAGCCAAAATGTATCCCAAAATCAGGTATATTGCTAGAGTTGCGGAATTATTTTTGTGTAGAAGCCGGGGCTGCGTTCCAAGGCGGAATCAATGCCGAATATGATGTGGACCGCTTTGATGAAGAGGAATTTCACGCAAGAACAATCATTGCAGGTATCGGAAACCCAAAAACACTATCCTTCCCACCCCGTTAGAAACGCAACCCTTCAACGACACCAACGAGTACAACATCACGGACGTGAACGAGCGAGTCGAGCTAAAAATTGTAAAGCCTCTGTGCGATGACTAGCTGGATGAATAGATAAATATGACATTGCATTGTTTGGGGAGAAGGACATCGACGGACACCTGAAAGGATAGAACTCATTAATAATTCCAAGCCGAGACTGACTCGATGGGTCGTGAATGTAGATCTGATACTGGCCGGCCTCAACCCAAACTTTTCGAGTCGGCTTTAGAATCTACTATGCTACAGACATTTTCAAGCCGCGGGAAGAATAACGACCGTTTGGTCAAGAAGAAAGAAGAAAAGAGCTCGAACGTTGGGGTAAGTTCAACAGGTAGAACACTACGAATTTATAAATTTTAGAATAAGCATCAAATACGGGCGCAGATTGAAGAGCTTCTTCAGAGGCGAAAGGAGCTTGATCTCTATCAGAAGCGCCTTTTGGTAGACCACTAGGTTTTTGAGATTGGGTGTTTTAGGCCGTGTCACGGAATGTTGATTCGAGCTGTAGTGAAGAAGGTGGGTATCGAGTATAGCTAAAAATCCCCCCAATTCAGAACCGCCTGCCGAGTCGTCTTTGGCCGATGATGGCGAGACGTTGGTCGCGATTCCGGCCAAACTCTTCTGGCATCCAAACGCCCGACAGGAAAATGACGGGTTTATTACGATTTAGTTTATTTAGATGCAGGTCCAAATCGAAAATCGCGGCAGGGAGAAGCGAGCGATCAAGGTATTACTTTAATAGCGATTAAACGATGTTTAGGTGAAATGCTCGGACACGATTCTTTTTCGAATCTATCCCGTATTTTGGTACCTCAACCCCGGAGAGAGCGGGATTTTGACGGTGAGCGCACCATTTTAGCACTGAAAACGCCGTGTAGATCACCGTCGACGAAGCGGTGTGGAAGAAAGAGAAAATTATATTGCAGCACACAACTGTAAGTTCTCACCTCAAATATAGAATCTTCAGGCCATCCCTAATCATATCTCGTACTTGCTGCCCGAAATATTCCGGTGGACACCAAAGACGCTACTCGATAGTCTGCACCTTGAATGCGAGCCACAAGCCGGAATCAAACCGGTCGGCTTAATTGTTTTTCAGAATCATCAGTATTAATGTTTATAGATTTCAATTCGGAGCCCTGATAATAACACCAAGAAAACATCAAAAGACTACAGAGAGCCGGGTAGGCTATTCTATCTTATTTTTAGTATTAAATCTCACTACATAACATTTGGTTCTTTTGTAATAGCGGGGGGGGAGCAACTTTTTTTCTTAGGATCCAATTTTTCAAAAATAAATAACGGAAGTGTTTCTGAGCTGTTTTTTTTACTAAAAATTTTCTCTCTAATTTTTATTAAAAAGTGCAAAATGCCGAGTTGTGACCAAAAATTTCGAAGTTTGGAACATTTTTTAAAGTTTTTGGATAGTTTTTCTAGCTGAAATATACTTTATCTTACTAAAAACACTATTAAAACATTTGCTATTAATTTACTATACCTATACGAAAAATTTCGATCCCCCGATAGTGAATGAACCGATTTTTCTGTTATTAGTGATATTACTTAGGCAACTTATAGATTGATATGTTCTGCCCCTGTTCCAGATTCTCTGATGTGCTCGGAGAAGGAGATCTGGTGGGATCGTGGGGGTGCCAGGGTGCAGACAATTACTTTCACAAATACCTCCTGGGCACGCCGGGTTATAAAGGTCAACAAAACGCCCAAAAAAACAATATCGACAGTTTTTAGGTGAAATGCTCGGATAACAGGCTGTATGTTGTCAGCCCGGTCTATGCGGCCATTGACTCGGCTGAGACGGTGGCTATCACGGTGTGTGGGGGGAAAATGGTGCTTTCGCAATATCGGGGGGTCCAAAAGTTCAGAAATGTCTAACAACTTAATAGTAAGTATTTTAATAGTCTGGCTAGTAAAATTTAACTATATTTCAAGCAAAAAAAAACTGGAAAACATAAGAAATTTTTTAGGCGAAAATTAAGTGGAAAATCCACTATTTTTGTCGAAAATCTATGTTCTGGTCTTTTTAGCAAAAAATTGTGGCGTAGATAGGTTTAGGAATAGTGAAACAAGTTTAGAAACAAGCCCTCTACTTTTATTTGAAAAATTGGATCCTAAGAAAAAAGTCCCACCCCCGCCTCCTCCCCGCCGATATTGCGAAAGAACCGGGAAATTAATTATATAGATCTTTGCTAGTTTTCTCGCACCGCCTCGATCATCGGCGAGGACAAATTTGTGGTGATGCACTTGAAGGTAAAAGAGCAAAACAAAAAACAAACATACAAATCCAGGCTGACGGTCCATTTCACGTTCTCGGACCGCAGGACGTATTTCGAGCGTCGAATCCCATGACTATTCAATCAATAATTATCCCTTCGCGTGGCCGATAGATTAAAAAAAATTTGGTATAAATTTCGAAATTTTGTAGAGTAGCGCATTTCAGTTAACAGATTTATCCCCGGTATTTACCCAGATTGTACGGCCTCAAAGCGTCGGCACCTTGCTGACGTCGACATTGACGCGGATGAAGGCCGTATTGTTGACGACATACTTGCCCTTGACGATGTCAGCGACGAGGGCAAAACGCTAAATTTATACATCATAATTCATCTATCTCTTATTCAAACCTGTATCCCAAAAGCCGGGTTGCGTTCGGCCTTCGGTCTTCCCAGGAATGGATCGTTCTCGGGGAGCGCTTTCGGCAGAATGCATTCCGTTACTAAATATATGGATTTTCGGTTCTTTTGCAGGGGGGGCAAATATTCTATTTTTGTATAAATATAGAAATTCCCAGTAACTTAATAGGAAGTATTTTAACAATGTTTTGCAAAATAAAACTATATTTCAACCTTCAAACTTTTTTAAAAGGTCGAAATTATGGTCAAAAAGGCCAATTTTGGTCGTTTTTAGCCAACAATTATGAAGTTTTTACGTTTAGGAATAGTAGAAAACATAGAAACAGTTTCGCTAGTTATATTTCAAAAGTTAGTTCTTCAAAAAAAAAATTGTTACCTTCTCCCGATAATGCGAAAGAACCGGATTTTATGGTTAGGGATAACCAGCTTAATTCGTGAATACTTCTCTAGAACTTACGATGCACTTCACTGCCATCTTGATTCATCCAGCTGATCCGCACCGGGCATTTGAAGGGCCATGGCAGGATGGCGTCATATTCGTCGCGCAGGATGGAGACGAACAACGAGACGTATTGACGCACAGCTAAACCAATTTCATCGCATAGACTTCCGCTATTCAAAACCTGCGCTATGTTTTTTGATATACCTTTTCCTTCCCCAAACGGCGCCAAAACAGCGCACATTTTGTAGCCATGCCTATGTGTGTGGAAGGGCGGGCTGTAGATGACCGGCACGCGCCCCTAAAAGAAAATATAGCCTTTGAAGCTTTGGCACACCTTCCGAGCTGCCTCAAAATGCTTCTGATAATTGTCGATGCGCCAAGTCAGTTGACTACTAAATATGTATAATGGATACAAAATAGAAAAACGTGTTAAAATGAAAAGTTTAAACAATAATTTTTATACATAATTAAAAATACAAAAAAACGGATTTTTTTGGCCAAAATTTCGCCTTTTTAGATAGTTTTATGGTTGAAATATACTTTTATTTTACTAAAAAGATTATTTGATACGTACTATTGAGTTACTAAACATTTATACAAAAGATTATACATACTAAACATCAGAAACCAAGACCCACCTGAATTTCGTGACAATGGCCGTCGAGCGAAGGGTCAACTTGGCGGCCAGCGCTAAGCTGCCGGTCGTCTCCGTGATGCTTTCCATCGCCTTTGCCCGAAAGTCGATCGTAGACTGGCACATTTGCGCCAAATGATCGAATCTGTACTAATTTTCAAAAGCGGCTGTCTGGAATAATTACTTGTCATCCCGAATATGGGTTTTGATGTCGATGGTTCGACCACGTCGGGTGCAGCCGAATTCTTTGAAGGGACAGTCGATGATGGCATCCGGGGTGAGCGCTGCCAGACTTGCAGGCAAAGCTGGTGTTTCACTGACTAAATTTTAAGTCGTAAAAATCACCTCAAAAATTTGGTTCTTTCGCATTATCGGGGAGGGGCAGGACTTTTTTGTATAAGTAAGTACTTATATAAGTCTAGAAATGCCTAGTAACCTCTTAGAAACTGTTTTAATAGTGTTTTTAGTAACACATAACTAGATTTAACCAGAAAAACTATCTAAAACTTTAAAAAGTAGAAACTTTGATCAAAAACCGAAATTTTGATATTTTTCAACACAAACTTGTAAAGTTTTCACTTGACTAGTAAAAAACCATTTAGAAACACTGTCACTATTTAGATTTGAAAAATTAGATCCTAAAAAGAGTTTGCCCCCCGATAATGCGAAAGAACGAAAAGTTTTAATCCCTAGTTGTTTGGCGTCGGCGATGGTAGGTGGCGTTGTCGGCGAGACGGCCAACGGGGAAACAACTGCAATAGTCTAACTCAACAAAAAAAATATAAGATCTAACGGGTGGTCATCTTCCGCTCCCTTTGCGGCGAGTGAATAGGTGTCAGCATGGAATCTCTAGAAACAGGCCTCGGCGTCGGCGACTAAATTTTTGCAAAGAAGTTTCATTCTACAAAACCTGCCGTGTGACCCGAGCCGACATCGGGCGAACCGTGACGACTTCCTGCAGTTGGTAGGCATCCGCCTATAAACCGTTACTCATCAAAGGCAAAAACCCACGAGCTCGGCCATCCAAAGGGAGTTCTGAAACAGGTCGATCCAAAAACTAAAGAATTTCTAGAGGATTAGGCTGCCGGTAACAACGTGCGTCGCTTAGATGCCCGATTTGTATCCCGGGAGAAGCAAACCGTTGGGGCAAATTCCTTCGAGACCTGCATAGTAACAAGGATTTTGATGACCCCTGACAAAAAGCAAGCACTCGCAGGTTGCCATGGAAAAGGCCTCTGAATGTAGATGCAGCGAGACGACCGGTTGGATGGTGTTTATTAATATAATATTTAAGATATAGATAACAGTGAAAATACACTGCTGGACATAATTTTACGTCCGCCTGATTTTTTCGGTGTTTTGGTGAGCAGGAAGGAGTGTCGCGGAAGCCACTTTTTTGCAGTATATTACACCCAAATAGGCATCTACTGGCACTCTATACATCTTCAGAAAATAAAATAATAAAATTTATAAAGGAAGAAATTTAACAAAGAAGACGTTTTTCGCGAATTCGACGTTGACAAAAAGCTACTCGGTTCCGTAACACTCCGCAATTTCCGATAAAAAGCGCATTTACCGTAACCAAAACCTTTTTGCAGCGGAATTCCACGACGTTTCGATTTATACTCGGTTGCTCCTGGCTAACTCACGAACGGCCTATTCCACTTTTCAGAGAAAACCTACTCTTTCGAAAATCCATTTGTTTTTATGGACCTCTCGATCCTGCTAACCCCGTTTGTTTGGTTTAGATGATTGATGGCGCTTAGATGACACCGCAAGAACTATAGAGCCTGGTTAGACCTATTCAACTTGTGATTCCTCATACCTTCTGATGCCGGACATACTTGCTTTTTACATCAGATCTTTAGAGCATGTTCGACTTCGGAGCGCTCGGACGCCGTCTCCAAGAAATCACCAACAACGCCAAAGAGACGGCGCCGGTCACGAAAGCACCTCCAATCCCGGCCGCAAAGGTATTCTTAGCAGGTGCGGATCGAATAATTCGTTTAGACGATCATCTACCGACCCGTGAGCGGTGTCACACTTCCGCCGCCCAACGAAGGGGAAGAAGATTTCCACATGGACCACCTCAACTATGTGTTCAATCACCAGGTGCGTCGGTCTCGCTTTTTTTGTAATCGCTTTCAGGTCAATACTACCCACTTCGCCCTTCCAATCACTGATCGTAAGCGGAGCCTGATCATCGACTACGCCTTCTCCGTGTTTGCAAATCGCCGAAGGCCACTCGAGTCTTTCTTCTTGGCCGTGCATATCATCGATAATACCATTCAAGTAAATTACTTTTTTATACTAATTTTTGTTTTTAGAGCCATAAAAAGACTCTTGATACTGCCCGTGACCAAGATATTGCCACGATGGTTATTGCCGCCGTTGACATTGGATCCAAGGTTTTTAAAACCCTTCGCACATAAAGTAGATTTTTTAGTGCGAATACCTGCACGGCGTGGCCCACCATTTCGTCGATGGGTACGACACCAACAAGATCCGCATGTGGGAAAGGGAGCACTTGCGCCTGTTCAAGTTCAACATCAGCCACACCCACTGCCTGCACTTCCTGCGTGTTTTCCAGGTGAATCTCACCCTCCCCCCTCCCCCCCCCCCCCCTCTCCCCGTTTACAGGCTCTTTTTTTTTAGTTCATGACGCATGATCTGATGGCCGAAAAGAATCTCCAAGGCGCTTGGACCTTGATGAAAGCACTGGGATGCTTGGCTATGGCGCACTTCACGACTGCCAAGCAGCAACCATCTCTGCTCGCGGCCGCCGTCGCCCGTGTGACATTCGAGATGCTCCATCAACGCGGAATCATTGCCTCTGCAGAGGTATACTTTTTATATATAATGGTTTAATTTTTGACAATTTTCAGCCATCGGTTTTGCTGCATCTTCATCACGTCGAATCTGAGCATCTGCCGGTTGCGATCGCGCTCGTGGAGTGGCTGCAAGGTTGCCCTAAGCCCATCGTTTCCAACGTATGTGCTTCTCTGATATTTCTATTTGTTAGCTAGATTGCGAAGTACTACGCGGATGAAGGAGTGCAGATCAACGACACCGAACTGCGTGATGTTCTGGCCTCCTTGAGGATGGCTCTTGTGCGCGCGGAATTGACCGGATGATTTTGCGACTAACAACTGGACCCTAGCCACTCTGCTCTTTCGCTTATCGTAAGACTTAAATTAACATGGTTTATAGCCATGCGCCAATGTAATTGTGAATCTGTGCATTTGATTTAATCCTGTGATACTGCTACTTTGATACTTTGATTCTGTGTGTGATTTTTTTTGTATCCGCGTGCATGTATTTCCCTAATTCTCTGGAGTAATGCTGATAAACGATACATTTGTCCGAGAAAGATTCGAGATGATATTCGTTCGAGGCGTCAAATTTATTTGAAGTGTGGATGACTCTTATAAAATGTCTCATTTTGCTCTTTTGATTCGAAATTGTAGCAGTATCATTGTAGCATCTACTCTGGTCCGGCCAGGCTTCACAAAAAACCCAGGGTAATAGCGATCTATTGGGAGTACGGACTACAGGCACGCCCCCTTATCGTGGGCCGGCCAGCCTGGGGCGTCCTTTGCCCCCAATTCCCTGTTGATCATCACTACGGACTTTGACCTATTTTCTAAAATTAAGATTTGCGGAAATTGAGGCCTGCCAATGTGTATCTACTACCTTTGACTAAAACAATGGAAATTGGATGTATCAGTGGATCTTTTCGCTTCCTCTATATATTGTTTTCCAACTTTTCCTTTCTGCCCCCTATTATCCTGCTTCAGAGAACTTGGGTAACAGACGCAGGTGATGTTGTCCCGTCTCCATCAATCCCAGCGGATATTCGGTAATTTTTTGATCCAATTGTTTGTTCTTGCTGAGTTGGCTGACCTTGCTAGTAGCCTAATATTAATCGATTCCAGCGTTCGCCGCCCGCCCGTTATCACGCTCATCACCTCTAGCTGCCGGTATGTTATTTTCTGAGCAGACATTCGGCTGTAAGTGGTTGCCACTTTTAATTTTTCGCTTTTAGGCACTGTCAAGATCGAGAGGCAAGGTGATGTCGCTGTGCTGAAAATCGACATCCCGAATGTCAAGGTATTATTGAAACTTAGTAATTTAAATTGGCCTTAGGAAAATGTCCTGGGCGAGGCGCTGTCGGGTGACTTGAATGAAGCCTTCAACAAATTGGAAAATGACGATTCGGTCAAGGGAATCGTCTTGATGTCCGGCAAGCCAAATTCCTTCGTTGCCGGCGCCGACATTACAATGTTGTCGAAGGCTAAAGACGTCGCTGACGCACAGAGGATGAGCAGGTATGTTTCGAAACATCTCTGTAGTTCTTAAACTCTTTTTCAGCGAGGGCCAGAAGCAGTTCGCTCGATTGGCTGATTCGAAGAAGCCGATCGTCGCTGCCATTATGGGATCGTGCCTGGGTGGTGGTCTGGAGCTTGCTATGGCTTGCCACTACCGCATTGCTGTCAACGACAAGAAGACGCAACTCGGCTTGCCAGAGGTAATCGACTTACATAATTCCAAACACTTTTGCAATTAGGTGATGCTCGGTCTTCTTCCCGGGGCCGGTGGAACGCAGCGCTTGCCTAAGCTGGTCGCGTTGCCGACAGCGCTGGACATGATGCTCACCGGGAAAAAGCTGAAGGCCAAGAAAGCCAAGCAAGCGGGCCTTGTTGACTCCGTCGTCGAACCCCTAGGTGATGGACTGGGACCCGCTTCGGAAATCACGCACAAGTAAGTGTTATTGCGTGCACGCATACTGGCCGTTTAGGTATCTTGAAGAGATCGCTATCACGGCAGCCAAAAATCTCATCAATGGCTCATTGAAGGTAGAATTGTTTGTGTTGTCGCTCCATTTTTTCTGATTTAGATCGATCGCACGCGCCCATTGCTCGAACGTGTTACAAGCGCTGTAACGAACAATCGGCTGGTACTAGACAATGTCGTGCTGAAAATGGCCCGTGATAAGGTAAGACTATATCGCATCTCACATCTAACACTGTTGCTCAGGTGATGAAACTGACGAAGGGAAACTATCCGGCGCCATTGAAAATTCTGGAAGTCGTACGCGAGGGAATTGTCGGTGGCCCGGCCAAAGGCTATGCTATGGAATCTCAGGTTTGTTGCTAAACATTACAACCTTTTTCTTTAGTATTTCGGTGAACTGGCAAAGACTACACAATCAGCCGCCTTGATCGGTCTCTTCAATGGATCGACTGATTGCAAGAAGAACAAATATGGAGAAGGCCGACCTGTCAAGTACAAGTTATTTTAATGAGCCGAACATCCTTTTTAGGGAGATTGCCGTTGTCGGTGCTGGCTTGATGGGCGCTGGAATTGCCAATGTCACCATTGACAAAGGCATTCGTTCGGTGAGTTCGTTTCATTTCTGGCCGAATTAAATGTCTTAGGTGCTTCTTGATGTCAACCAGTCGGGCTTGGAGCGCGGCCAGAACCAGATTCTGACCCATCTTTCCACGGCTGTCAAACGGAAGAGGCTGAGCCTTTTGGAAAAGGAGAGGTAAGACTTGTGTTTTTATTCTATAGCTGCGCCCAGGATCGTCACCAACCTCGAGGCGACCACCGACTACAGCCGGATGAAGAATGCTGATATTGTCATCGAAGCCGTCTTTGAAGATCTTTCCCTGAAGCACAAGGTTTGATTTCCAAGGCTTGTGAAACTTTCTTTCCTTCAGGTGGTCAAGCAGATTGAGTCCATCGTCCGTCCGGAATGCATTGTCGCAACCAACACTTCCGCTCTGCCAATTGCCGATATCGCCAAAGCCAGCGCCCGCCCGGAAAATGTATGAACGTATTGGATTTTTTCAATATTTTTTAGGTCATTGGCATGCACTACTTCTCGCCGGTGGAAAAGATGCAGCTTCTTGAGATCATCACCCATGAAGGGACCTCCAAGCAAACCATCGCTACTGCTGCTCAACTGGGTCTGAAGCAAGGAAAGCTGGTCGTCGTGGTCAAGGTTCGTTATCTTCTTTGCATTCTCATTCGTGTTTAGGATTGCCCTGGCTTCTTCGTTGTGCGTTGTTTGGCCCCAATCATGAGCGAGATCACCAGGCTGCTCCAGGTACATTTAGTCGACATTCGTTATTTGTTCCATAGGAGGGTATGTCCCCTGAGCAACTCGACAAGATCACCACTGATTTTGGATTCCCAGTGGGCGCTGTTACTCTTTCTGATGAGGTAAAATTTTTAGTTGCAGTGAATGGAAATTTTAGGTGGGACTGGACGTGGCAGAGCATGTTGCTCATTTCCTCTCGGGCGCCCTCGGAGCGCGAGTGGGCGGCGGAAACCCACAGATTTACACGGATCTGGTGGCAGCTGGCATGAAGGGAAGGAAGTCGAACAAGGGCTTCTACAATTATGGGGATGGCAAGAAGGTGATTTTTGCTTCGGACGCAAGATTCGAGAAATGAGCTGTTTTCGCAAATCTGCGTCTGCGTGGCAGGATTTTCTAAAAGTCTGGTTGCCATCAGTTATTTATTTCAGGGCAGCAAGAAGGCGAACGAGGAGGCCCTAAAGATTATCAAGAAATACCGCGTGGCCGCCCCAGCCGACGTCAGCAGCGTTGAGGACCAGCAGATCAGAGTGCTTTGCCGCTTCATCAACGAAGCCATGTACTGCCTTCAAGAGGGTGTGATTAGCCAACCGGTAAACAATTTCACATCAACCCAACTTATTTTTTCTTATTTTAGTCTGACGGCGACATCGCTTCGGTGTTTGGCGTTGGCTTCCCGCCCTTCTGGGGTGGCCCCTTCCGCTTCGTCGACCTCTACGGAGCCGAAAAGCTCGTCACCAAAATGGATAAGTACTCCCGCGCCTATAACCGCGAACAGTTTGCGCCGGCTCAGATTCTCCAGGTATATTTAGCTGACAGGCTCCAAAGTCCGTTTCAGGATTACGCGAAGTCTGGCAAGAAGTTCTACTGAATCGATTGAACCTCTTTTTGTACGCCAATTATTTTTATACGAGTCCCCCGTTGCTCCATGCCATCATTGGTTTTCGTAGGCGCTTTTCCAATGTACATTCTGTGACTGGTACCCTATTATCCTCTTATAAACACCCTCACTCTAGACGTATCTGAGCCTACACGGTCCCCATTGTTTAATCTCTTTCCGCTAGACTGTGCCATTAGATTTAGTGCGAAGAGGTATAAAGTTTATCTATCCTCGGGAACACTCCAAACAATCGACATAAGAGCAGATGGCGCTTCAGTTGGACGGGGGCGGGGTGTCCGACACGTTGCTGTCAAGGGCTTTGTCGTCGAACTCGCGCTGTGCACATGTGAGCAACTGCAATTAACTAGCCTTTCAGCTGATAGCGAGCCCTAGTTACCCAGTTCGACAGAAGGGGCAGCTGCTTCCAGATGCAGAATTTGAAGTGCTTCTTGTAGTTGTGCTTGATCAACTACAGGGGCTGGGGTTGAGGTCATGAGAGCTCTACCTGATGGCGGCGCTGATACGGCGGCGATTCAGCGGTGACAAAATTCACGAAGAGGACTCCTCTTTTCCCGAGCAAGCCAGCCATTTTCGACAGCAACTCGTCGGTCTCCAGCTCGTCAATGGGGCATTTGTACAGCTAAAACGGAACGGTTGACCGGGAAACGCGCTTCGTACATCTGGCCGATTGGCGCCGGTTGAGTCCTAAAAATTAGGTGAAACAATTGTTTTCACCATTACCTCAGTTCGGCAGGCATCGTTGAAGATGGCATCGAAGGTTTCACCTGGAGAAGGGGTAGTAGTGGGGAAGAAATTTTGAGAGACGTTTGTGGATTCTTTAGTAGTTCGAAGTGGCAATTTTTCATAGCATCTAGTTTTGCCAATATAAAGAGAAGAAGTGTTTCTCAATGTTTTTTTTTACTTTTCACTAAACGTATTTACAAAAGCTCTATTAAAAGCTACAAAAATGGATTTTTCGACCAAAATCCCAGTTTTTAAGCCGTTTTTCAGGTTTTAACCCATTTAGGATTTCCGGTAGGCGCTACCATTCTCTGCAGCCCTTCTGATCAGGTCCACGGCATCTTCGAGCCGGATGCGTTTACGATATTCGACGTCTTTGGGCGTCTGGAAATGGCGGAAAGCCTTCCACAACATGCTCGCGCTGATCTCGACCGTCGTCGTGTTCATCTGGTGAAAAAAATGATCCAACGGCAGGCCCGTACGGGGGGCAGGGGGGCAGCCTTTTTCCTCGCTCTTTAACACCATTTTTTTATCCTATAGGCACCGTTTTTCAAAAATTTCAGCCTGCGGCGCTGTTTTTCAGTAAATTTATCGCAATTTTCACTAAGTGTGCTGCCTGGGGCGCTCTCAGGCCGCCCCGGGCGAGCCGCCCCCGCCCTCCGCCCCGCAATCGCCCGAAGGCCGAAAAGTTCATAAGGGGGGACCCTTATGATCGTTTTCTGGAAAATTTTTCTGCCTGCGGCGCTTTTTATAGCTGTTCGCAAGTCGGTTTTTAGTGTTAGAAACACCATTTTTCAAAAATTTTTGCCTGCGGCGCTCATTTTTTCAATCATTGAATCGCAATTTCGGTTCAAAAGTGCATATTTGCCGCGATTTGGCCGAATCCCAGGGTTTTTCTTAACCAATTTTGCAAAAATTTCGCCTGCGGCGCTGTTTTTAGAGTTTTTACACCGTTTCTCCGCCATTTTACAAAAGCGTGGGGGGGGGAGGTCGTCAAAAATTTTTTTCGGTCCTGCCCCCCGAAATTTCGGCCCAGGTACGGCCCTGTCCAACCGGGTGTTTAGAGTACTTTTGGGTATTTCTGGTAGAAGAATGGTGGGAACACGCCGACACCATGGCCCAACAGCAGGAGACGCCTATTAGCATTTGTGCCATCGCGTTCGAGGACGCCGGTGCGAAGCATCGTCTCATAATGTTCCAATTCGTAGCTGGAAATGGCCGGGTTTTAGATATTTTAATTTTTACATGGAAGCTATACCTGTAGGGGTCAAAATGGAGATGATCAATCTTCCACGTAGCTGCGTCCATTCGGGAACCGACGCGCTCGCTGTCTAAAAGTCCACTATTTTCGAATATAGCTAAATTCGCCTACCCGGCGGCAACGACAACCACTTTTGGCCCATCAACGTCAACGGGTTTTCGTTGATGCGCATCTGACGACTGAACCCGCTGCTTGGACTGTAGATGTCCACGATCCTTTCGGTACCTTCAGACCAGCGAACCTAGAGGAAAGCTGCATCAACATCGCCCAGAGAAACCCGGTATTGTACTGTTAGCAGGGGGACCAATTTTTTTCCCCGGCTATGCCTGCCTGTTTTAGAATTTTTTTTAGTCGTTTTTGATTTCTAGAAATTGCAAAATATTTTAATCATTTTTCAAAATTCGAAATATTTGAACTGTTAGGTCAAAAAGTCTAAAATTTTTTGAAGTTTTTATGCGTTTTTTTAGGTAAAAACTCTAAAAATGATTTATAGTTATAGGACTGTAAAGAATACTGGGGAAACTAGCTTCCCGCTGCTAAACCCCCCCCCCCCCCCTGCTAACAGTCCAATACCAGAAACCCTACCACTCCGCGGCGATACTTGTTGATCATCTGTTGCTCAAAATCGGGCACGATTTTCTAAAACTTAATTGGGTGAAAACAAAGCAAAAAGTTTACAATGTTGAATTAAAATCTATAAAAACATGGCGTTTTCGGAAGTTCAGACTTAGCTAGATTTCAAAGTAGTTTACCAGTTGAAATATAGCTAACTTTTGGCAAAACACCATTAAAATAAATGCGAGTGCGTTATTACGCATAGCTAGAGTTTTAGACCAACCTCAAAGAAGATCTCCTGGTCATAGATGTATTTCTGCAAATGACAGGTATTTTCAGGGTTTTCTAAGGCGGACTGACGATGCAGTTAGCAAAGAAGATGGCCAGCACGATGCCGTAGAGGGATCGCTTGATGATTGTGTAGGCAGAGAGGGAGGTTGCCACTTCCTCCGGAGCCGCACCTTAGAATTAGAATATTTTTGTTATCTATGATATTTATATTTTCGACGCTAGTCATTAAAATGGGAAAATTGCGTTATATGGTCACTAAACGGATTTTGGATTTTTATATACCAAAATGCTCAGCAGTTCGAGCTGGTTCAGGATCAGTTGAAAAAACTATTGGGAAACACTTCTGGAGCGAGTTATAACACTTCAAAGTTGGCGAGTGTCGTATATGGTCACTAAACGGATTTTCGATTTTTATATGTCAAAACGCTCAGCAGGTCGAGCTGATTCTAGAACAGTTGAAAAAACCTTTGGGAAAAATCTCTGACGCGAGATAGCTAGCTTACAAACCGTCCATTCAGCCCCTGAAGTAGTACGTAGTACACCAAAATACGCCAACTGTACATCGTAAAGAAACGGAATGGTGGAGAATTGCCGTTTCAAGGGTAAAAAAAATACATTGTCAGGCAAGGTGGGCCGTCGCTTCGGATGGGCTGCCGCTCCACTCTTTCGAAATCGAGGCGCCTGGACGCTTCGCGCTCCTCGGGCGCCCCGATTTCGAAACCCTGTACGAGCTCGCACCCATCCGAAGCGACTAGGCCCCGGGGTGGCACGAAGCCTTATTTTTAGGCTCAGATCCAGTGTGTAATGTCAAGCCAAACGTTTATCGCACACTTATCCATCTTCCCCCTAAAACGGAATTTCCGGGGCAAAAACATGGTATATAGGGGGCTGTTTGAAGCCCAGCTTCGAAGTGGTATATCTCATAAGTGGTATATTATTCAACGTACTCCCATGAGTCAGGCAAGGTGGGCCGTCGCTTCGGATGGGCTGCCGCTCCACTCTTTCGAAATGGGGGCGCCCCGGCCGCTTCGCCGGCCTTGGCGCCCCCATTTCGAAACCCTGTACGAGCTCGCACCCATCCGAAGCGACTAGGCCCTGGGTGGCACGAAGCCTTATTTTTAGGCTCAGATCGGGTATGTAGTTTCATGCCAAACCCATTTCGAACCCAACCATTTTTCGCACCACCGAAAACTGACTCGCCTGGGCGACAACGTTATGTATTGGGCCGGGGTAACGCGAAACTTTGTAGTGTTATATCTCGCTCCAGAAGTATTTCCCAAAGGTTTTTTCAACTGTTCTAGAATCAGCTCGGCCCGCTGAGCATTTTGACATCTAAAAATTCAAAATCCGTTTAGTGACCATATACGACACTCGCCAACTTTGAAGTGTTATAACTCGCTCCAGAAGTGTTTCCCAATAGTTTTTTCAACTGATCCTGAACCAGCTCGAACTGCTGAGCATTTTGGTATATAAAAATAGTTTTTTCAACTGGAAATGGTAGAACTCGACGAGATCTATCGATTCCAATCGAAAAATCGATATTTTATTTAGTTACCGTAAAGTGAAATTTTCCCAAATCGGCTAAATTTCACTTTACGGTAACTAAATAAAATGTCGATTTTTCGATTGGAATCGATAGATCTCGTCGAGTTCTACCATTTCCAGTTGAAAAAACTATTGGGACTCGCTTCTAAAAAAAGTTATAAACATTTTAAATTGGCTAGTTCACTTTACGGTAACTAAATCAAATGTCGATTTTTTGACTGAAATCGATAGATCTCATCGAGTTCTTGCGTTTCCCGTTGAAAAAACGATTGGGACTCACTTTTAACAAAAGTTATAGCTGTTTTAAACCAATTCGCCCCGCATCGAGAAAGTCGGTTTCGGCTACGAGGGACTCCTTTGTACGGAAAAACGTAATAGTTGTGAACGTACTGGGGTACCAAATACGGGGCCGCTGAAAAAGGCGATGGAAAAACTTTATTATCACATCTTTCGCGCTTCCTCCGAATTTCTGAATTTCTGAAACATCAAAAAGACTGTTTGCAACAGTAGTCACTCAATTTGTATGGAAGTGACCGCTACTTCCTCCGCTCTGCGACTAGAAAAAGGCTTCGTGCCACCGGGGGCCTAGTCGCTTCGGATGGGTGCGAGCTCGTACAGGGTTTCGAAATGGGGGCGCCAAGGCCGGCGAAGCGGCCGGGGGCGCCCCCATTTCGAAAGAGTGTAGCGGCAGCCCATCCGAAGCGACGGCCCGCCTTGCCTGACAATGTCACAGTCAAATGTCAAAAATATAGTGTAGCCTCCTCCAAACAACTTTCCCAAAGGTTTTTTCAATTGTAAATGCAAGAACTCGATGAGATCTATTTCTCCCAGGCGAAAAATCGCATTTTTACGAGGTTACCGTAAAGTGAACCAACCACTTTAAAACGTTTATAACTTTCGTTAAAAGCGGGTCCCAATCGTTTTTTCAACGGGAAACGCAAGAACTCGATGAGATCTATCGATTCCAGTCGAAAAATCGAGATTTTATTTAGTTACCGTAAAGTGAACTAGCCAATTTAAAATGTTTATAACTTTTTTTAGAAGCGAGTCCCAATAGTTTTTTCAACTGGAAATGGTAGAACTCGACGAGATCTATCGATTCCAATCGAAAAATCGATATTTTATTTAGTTACCGTAAAGTGAAATTTTCCCCCAAAATCCGTTTAGTGACCATATAACGCAATTTAGCCATTAAAATATCCATTTTGAGGGGCACGTCTAAACTTTTACCTTTCAGCAGTTTTTTTCTTTTTTCTAACAATTTTGGATGTAAGAAAACAACTTTTTTATAGTAATTCGACCACGGGGAACACTTTGAGATACTCGGCGCATTAATAGGACGTATGGATGAAAAGTTACGGCTGGGGGGGTAAACTAGAGTTTAGCC